CTGGGGCGCGGCCGAGAGGGGCCGGACCGCTCCGGCGCGTGGCTCTGAGACAAGCCCATCCAGAGCTGGCTCCTGTCCTGACCTTCGCCCCTCTCTCTCTCTCTCTCCATCAGGACCAGTTTCCTCAGCTCCACGCGCCGCTTGTACCAGCGGTCAGGCTGCACAGGGGAAGGCGAGGAACAGCGGTCGGAGGTCCCCAGCAGCCCCCCGAGTCCCTCCAGCCCCAGGGCGCTGTCCAGCGGGGGCTCCAGCACCCTGCCCAGCCCCGGAGCTGCCTCTGTGGACCTGGAGAACCCTGCCTGGCCCTTCTCCAACCACGTCAGCCCGGGGGCGTCCCCGAGCCAGCCCGTCCCAGAGCCTCCCGCTGCCCTGCAGGACAGCTCGTCGCAGGACACGCAGTCCTCAGGTGGGGGCGGGGAGTCTGAGCTTGTGAAGCGGTACAAGGGTGTGTCTGCTGCGGACAGATTCAGACTTACAGTCATGGCCTGTAATCATACGGCCGCACTCCCCACGTCAGCACGATGTGCAGGTCTCCTCGAGATTAACATCAGCAGCTGCAGGTCTGCAATTAAGATTTAATTCTGCTTATTTAACCCTCGTCCCGAGGCCTTGTGCTGCTGCTGCTGCAGTGCCTCCTAGGTTATCGGACTGAAGAGGCCCTGTTATAGAGCAAGAGCACGTTGCTCGTCTAGTGCTGAGAGTTGACCCGCTCTCCAAGAAACGCAGCTGCTCGGGTCAGATACCATTGATGAAGTCTTGCCCGGAAAATTCATTTTTTATACAATATGTCTGCCGACGAGCATGACACCACTCAGTACAGTGAGGCTTTCTTCTGCTTTGAAATTGTACATCAGGAAGATGGGTTCCATACTTCCATACGTGACAGAAGTTGGTTTCGCTTTGTATGGTTTTTTGAAGCACACAAAGAAATATATTCTGATCATAATTGTAAGGGACATGCACCAACAGTTAAAAAGAAAAAAACAGCTCGGTATAATTCTGTTAGAAACCGCAAACTGTAGTACTGGGTTTTGACAGCGGGTTGGTATTGTGGGAAATTCTTCATCAGGAGCAGCAGGGCACAGTCTTGTGCAGGTTGTTTTTTCTGAGCTCTGCACGACAGAACAGACGCACTGCAGAGGGCTCCCAGCTCTTGTATACAGTACAGACTCTGACAGACGTTTATTTCACACGTTTGAGTGCAAGTCCTGTCTTTTGATATATGATTATTCCTTCTCTTAACACCCTATAGAAGAAAATTAGTTGCTGCAGCTGTACAAGCAAATCATTTTTATCCTGTCTCAACATACATTTTGTTAAAAGGTTAAATACACAGATCCCAGCAATTATTCTAAAGCCTTCCACAATATGGTTAGGTAGTAATATAGTAGTGCTGGATATGGACAATCTACTGTATAGTGTATATGTCCCTCTTCAGTTCCCTCAGAACTGAATGAGGAAGACCAGAAGCTCCAGCTAACTGTATCCTATGTCTTTACTCCTCCTAATTCACCTGTTACTTGTGTCTTTGCTTGAGACTTGTTTCATGATAATCCCTGAAGGCACCTTTGAGCTTAAGTTGTCGTCTTTTAAAGGGTCTGCAGTCTGTGTTCCAGTCCTTATTAATTTAACTGTAGACTCTATAAAGTTGGGATAATGTCAATCTTGTGCTGTTGAGAGTCGGCATCGATAAGCCTGTGAAATCAGTGCCACAGTATCACTGTGACAGCAGACGTATAAGACTAGGAAATGCATGAAAGACAGGGTTGACTGCGGTGCTTTCTTCTCCAGCTCAAGACTCAGACTCGGTCATCTTCGTGAAGGAACAGCAGCCCAAGAGGGAGGACAGGATGAGGTACCGCGCTCTCCAACGTTTTCTCATTAGTTTCTGGATTTTGTCGGAGTGTCCGTTTTAACTCCTTGTTCCTGATCGTGTTCCCGACCTTTTCCCTGCAGCGTGCCCTTCTTCCACACGGAACTGTGGATCAAAGAACTGTGAGTGAGATTTTTGGGGGAATTTGAATGTCTTTGCCCGCCATATCTCTGTCAGTTGTGTCCTTGTTCACAGAACGGGCTTTGATGCATAAAACCTTGCAAAAATATCGACTCAGAATTCCCTGCATTCATTCCTGATTTGTTTTTTTCACTCTCCCGCTGTCCGGCAGGACGAGTGTGTACGATTCTCGAGCGCGGGAGCGGCGGAGACACATCGAGGAGCAGGAGGCCCTCGCCGCGCGTCTGCAGAAACAGGTAGGTCGCCCCTGGAGAGCTCTCTGTAGGGCACTGGCGTAACCCCTGTGTGCATGTCCTGGCAGCTTTTCTTCTCTTATTTTCTTAACCTCTCTGACCTCCTGCCTCTTGACATCTTGACGTCTGTCTTTTACATGCAGCTTGGCTTCACCTCTGTCATGTATTCTTCCATCTGTGCCTCCTGTTTCCTCGCCTGCCTGTGTGAAAATCCTGGCTTGTGACCCTCTCATTCTCTGCTTCACTGGGTCCATCGTTCTTGCCTTCCTCTCTCTCTGTCTAGCGGCTGTCTGCAGAGGGCCGCCCAGGCCAGCCGCCAGTGGAGCTGCACCTGCGCGTGCCCCTGGAGAAGGAGGTTCCCCTGGCGCCTATCGTCGAGGAAACCAAACCAGTCAGGGAGGAGCCCGAATTCCCTGAGCTCACTCAGGTACATTGTGTGGGCACAGTCACTGTATACAATTCCTGTAACGCAATGGCACAGTCCCTGCACTGGTAAGAGCTCCAATATTACACTGGCACACTG